GCGAAGATCAAGCATTTCCAGCAGCTGCACTTCATTATCAACATGACTTACGCTTTCACTAAGGTTCCGGAAATTCAAAAGTCGAGCAAGATTTATTTTTATACATTTTCGATAGAGCTCGTTGAGCTAAGTAAGAATACGTGTGCTTTACAGTTTCAAAAACAATGTTTAGAGTCCAAAATTTCAAAAAACCCGACATGTGCTAACCCCATGATCTACATAATCAACTAGCTGAATTACAGAAAGACTACATTCGTTCATTGCCTCCCAACCAGGAGAGGCTAATACTGTATCGTGATCAACCGATAGCGATTAAAGAGCTAGAAAAATTGCGAAACAATATTGGTGGTCTTGTATCTATGAACAGTTTTCTATCTACAACGAATGATCGAGAAGCAGCGATCTTCTTCGCTGGTGGTGGAATCTTAGGAAATCCAGAAACACATGTATCGGTTTTGTATGAAATGACAATCGATACAAGTATACAATCAGTACCATATGCCAAAATTGATTATACATCAATCTTTAGCGATGAAGATGAAGTTCTATTTTCAATGGCTTCCGTGTTTAAAATTGGCGAAATAGAAATGGTCCGTGAACGGATGTGGAATATAAAATTAACATTAACGGATAAAGAAGATGAGCATTGGAATAAATTAACAGCCCATCTAAATTAACCCAATATCTTCACAACTACGAGGTTCGTTTTAAGAAGATATATCTTCAGTCAGATTTAACTGACTATTCTTATTCTTTATTGTCGGCTACTTTGTACAGATATTTCGAGGCGAAGTACAATGGATTTCCTGAGTTTTGATTAAATAACGAGAATAAAGAAACACAATATTATTAATTTTCTTTCTCTTCTAATGACAATTTCTTTCACAATGACAATTTTAGCAAACTGTGACGTCTAACTCGAAAGAAAGTCCATGAAATTCTGCTCAAAAATAAGTCCTTTAGAAAATTTTAAAATGGCGCTAAACGGCCGGACATGCTTGACATTATTCATTTCTGATCAAAATCCCCACTTCTCAGCATCCGACAATTTCTTCCTACGTCACAAGTAGCGAAGATCTCGTATTTTACAAAATTTTCAACTACCTAATACTACTAGAGCGATATATGTAAGGGCTCAACGAGCTCTATCGAAAATGTATAAAAATAAATCTTGCTCGACTTTTGAATTTCCGGAACCTTAGTGAAAGCGTAAGTCATGTTGATAATGAAGTGCAGCTGCTGGAAATGCTTGATCTTCGC